AGTCATTCATATATTAGCAAAGGGGCACATCAGTGTGCTGGTAAACCCCTGTTGTCTGGCATCTGCATTTCCATACTACACATCCGGCCCATGGCACACTAAACAATACTCAACCATCTTTACCTAGTTAACTGGGATTTTGACAGAATCCTGTCACCAAGTCTTGATCCACACTCTCCTCTCAACACCTATCAACGCAAAGAGAGCCGAGGCTGACTAGCATTATCTATTTTACTATATGCCAGGAGCCGTGGTAAAGCCATGGTAAAGCCGTGGTACTTTACATCCATGTATTATCTTGTTTGGGCCTTAGAACAATAGTCTGACACAGGTATTATCCCTATTTTACAGCTAAGAAAACTGAGGCTCAGAGAGCTTGCCTTTCCTGAAGCTGTCAGGTCATAAGTCACAAGAAACAGAAATGCCTTTCTCCAAAGCCCCTACTCTATCACAAGAACATACAAGATCAAGGCCGTGCCCCCTCCAGGCTGTAACAGAGACTAGATCACACTTTTTATTCAAGGACTTGTCTAACAATCTGCCTCTACCCCCAAATAAAGGGTGGGGGCTCTCATTTTCAGTGGGGCTTCCTTAAAACTGGATGGCCCCCCAGGGCACCCAATGGCAGTTACAGGTAGCCTTTCCATAGTGACTCCTTGGTAGGGGTTAATAAGTAAGGGAGTGCTAACAGAGTAGGACAGAGATGGAAAACATAAAGCCTGTTGTAGGGATTACAGGTCAGTCGAGGAGACAAACATGCAGGCTTTTGATGGTTTTATAGAGTGGATGGACGAGGAGACCTGGCCGGTGGGAGGTGACAGGATAACCCAGTAGGGTAGACACAGAGACAGAGAGACGGGGGCCAGTGAACGGGAGCAGCAAGAGACCAAGCTTTCCCACAGCAGAGTCAAAAGAGAGAAGAGAGGTAGGGGGTACGGGGTGGGTTTTAAGGGCACCGTGTCTACGTGGGTGGAGGAGGCGAGCTGCATGCAAGTCTGCTAGTAGAGCTGCATAAGGACTGCTTGAATGAAAAAATGAGAGAAGACAAGGTCATAAGGGCACATAAGGGGGAGGGAATTTGCAAAGGGGAAAAAGTGGAGAGGAAGTTTTTTTAGAGATCTGGGGGTGGGGGGGGTAGGAGCAGCAGACCGGAAGCCACTGATGATTCTGAGAAAAGGAGTGATGTATATTACAGTAAGGAAAGGATGCTAAAGGAATCCTTGGTATGTCCCGCACTGCGCAACTTGCTAAATTTGGTATTGTCAGAGCACCTCCAGCTCTCCAAAGACTTTCATCTCTACGTGGGTAAGCTCTGTAGCTCTCACAGTGGGTTTGCTCAATAAACACATCCATCCATAAACAATTCAGTTACTCGTGAAACATCTTTCAGTGCCTTTAAAATTCCTAGATCTCACCTAAGATTTAAAAAGGAGCGTGGGGGACCGGAGTCTCTCGTTCAGATGGGGTGCAATGAATCACTGACAAGAGAATACCTAATTCAAAGCCGAAATGTCAGAGCAAGGAAAGAGCGGGGAATTATTGAAGTCATAAACGACTGTGTCGACTCGCCTGAAGACCCTTGATCATTTTCTCTCAATGTAGTTCCGGAAAATAAAAGGAGTTTCAAAGTCCCCCTCAAAAGCGTTCCACAGTACACACGTTGTTTGCCCACAGCCAACCCAGCATCCAGTTTTCTCATTTCTATTGTAAGTTCCACCTGTACTTTTTCTTGGCTCAAAACGTTGAAGAGTGAATTTGTTGTTGACCATACTTCAGTGGAAAAAAAAAAAATTTGTGGAATGGTAGACTAGATAACATAATTTAGAATTTTAGGGTAGGCACCCAGGGTTCTGAACTGTAGCAAAGTCACAGAGGCTGCTCAGCTATTAGAGACCAGACAGACAGTGTAGGCTGAGCTCTAACCAGGCCTGGGCCTGCACAAAGTGGGCGGGGTCTCGGGCGTCTGCTCAAACACAGCAGTGCATGCATGATTCAGTCCCCCTCCTGGCAGACAGCAGAAACGATCTGCTTCCAGACCCTCAGAAGGGGAGCCTTCCCTGGGCAAGCCACCACCACCACCAAGGCACCATGCCCTACCCCCGTTTCAGGACATGCTTTGCATATTCAGAAGAGCTTGTGGACAGCTCTCAATAAACGCAGGCCCCGCGATTTACAGTCTACTATCACAGAACCTCACACTGAAGCCTTTTAAGACAAATGGAACCTAAAGTCCATATGAAACTGCAACCTCCCCATGAACACCACCACCACCAAGAACCATAAAATGGAATCAAGCTAGGCTAGATGTGCGCTAACCAGAACCGCTGTGTTCATCAGTAATAGCTTACATTCCACAGTTCTCAAGATTATTCTAAAAACAGAGCCGGCCGGCCTGGGGCTGCGGAAAAGTGCAGAATGAGTGGGGGTTTGGTTGCCCTCTAGTTATGATTCCTGAAGTAGCCAAACCAGATAATCTGGTTTAAAAAAAAATCTTATAGTGGCTGAATTATAAATCTCTCCAGTGAACAGAAGTCTGACTGTGCTACATTTATAGCGTGTAGAGCAACACGGGGTTTCAAAGATAATTCCTGACTCCAGGATTTTACAATCGAATAATAATCTGGTTTTACTACCAAAGTGGCTCAGATTAAACAAATAACTGCCAAACGTGCGTTATACTTTGCTTTGTCGAGCTATAGCTAAAAAAAAAAAAAAAAAAATCTATCCTGCAGGAATACTGGAGATGAAATAGTTTTAAACTCCCTGGGCGACAAAAACAGTCACAAAGGACATTTCAGGGAGGTCACATTCTTTAATAGTGGTTTAAAGTCACAAGTTTTGGAGCCAGATCACTTTGGTTCAATTAACATTTCCATGACTTTTAAAGCTGTGTGACTTTGGATAAATCACTTAGCCTCTCTGTGCCACAATTTCCACATTTGGAAATAACACCCACCTCATAGAGTTTTTGGAAGGGTTAAATATGACAATCCTGTATTATCACGGTAACTCTTAATACTATTTATCATCCCTCTACCTTTGCGTCATCTCCTCAACTTAAAATGACAAAATCGTCTCCTGAAATGGAGTTGTCCATTATTAGAGAGAAGACAGGCTTTATAAGACAGGGACAGTAGATTTCTTCAGGTACTGCTTTATTTTATAGTCACCCCAAGGTGTCAATTTGGCATTTAGCCGGTAAGAGAAATCAGTGTTTTTTTCTGGTGAAAAAAGCTAATCACAGCCATATATTTACACCGGGCAGGGTGTTCAAACTGGTAAGACCCGGCAAAGAGAAGGGTTTTTTCCATGAATGCCCATCACAATTTATTTCGTCAGTTGCCATGACGTTTTTTCTCCATAAGAGTAAAACGAAACACAATGAGGTCACTGAATAAAAGTGACTTTAGACTTTGTTGTTTTTGTCACTTTCTAGATCGAGGTATTCAGCGTTGATGTCAGCCGTTTGTACTTTCCAATCATAAACGTATGAACATATTTTCTCTTTGCTTTCCCCCTGCAAGGTGGTTATTATGAGACTAAATGCATTCAGCAATAGGGATAGGAGGGGGAAAGAATCACTGGCAGGCTCAGGAATCTCTAGGCCAATCACTATTCTAAACAAGGGACTGTGGAAATATGGCGTGAGCCACTTCAAGAATGGGAACTTTCCTGCCAGGTAGAAGGTTTGTTGCTGGTTGCATCCTAAAGTCAAAAGTATTAAGAATCTTCAGGATTATTCATTCCTCTGCTCTTTCCTATGGAGAAATAATGGAATAATAATAATAATGATAATAATAATAATAGAAAGCTAATAGTACAATGATAACTGATACATGTGCCTTCACACAGTTGTAACCTTTCCAAGGAGAACCATAATTCATGCATTATAATGAAGACTTTCGGCATCTTGATTTAGAGCTTTTGAATGAGATTTATAGGTTTTGAATAAAAGATTTATCACTGAGGTTAACCAGTGGCTATTAGCCAGAACCGAGTATTTACAACCTCACATTAAAAAAGGATGGGCCAGAAGCTACATAATTCAGAAAGGAAGCAAAGTAGCTCCCAGCTAGCACAAACCTGAAGGTCAGACAGGTAATACAAATTGTCAATCCAAAAGCATAGCCACCTTGCCAACCCTCATTTTAATAATAGCACATTTGTTTAAAAGCATTAGGTCTCATGTCTATTCTAGAAGTCACACCCAATTCACTGCAATGTGCTTCGAAGTGCAGTGTCTCTGGAAGCTGCTTGCCTGGTTAGATGGGGGTGCCTTACATAAAATAGGGATATTCTGAGCAAGTTATAATCCTTTTGCCAAGAATACACAAAAACAATGGAGCAAAATGCCTGGGAAAATAATGTATCATGACATTCTGTAAGCTACCGGGACAATAAGCTGGCTGGACACTTCAGACCCTCAGCCCATTCAAACACCAGTAAAAGTATTTTCAAGAAATGGCAGATCCTCATTTGTTCTTATATGCAGTATCATTTAAGGATGTCAGAATTCTCCACCATCCGCTGTGTAACAGTACCTGGGGCTTTTAATTTCTCCCACCCAAAGTACATAAGGCAAACTGCTTCTCATATCAAACGCTTAAAGCAAAGGCTGAAAACTGCTTTGAGAGCCAGTCTGAGAGACTCAGCAATTCTGATTCCTCTCTCATTACAGCTCCGGGACAGTGGAGGCCAGGCCTGGGGGGAGCCGCGCGGAGACTTGAACTCCTCTTCAAGTTAGACACCCTCCGAATTCCAGGGCTCCTGCAGCGGCTCTAAGACGAAGGCCCAAAACTTTCCGGGGAGATGGACCGGGGTGTGCTGTGAACTGCCGGAGTGGGTCTCGGAGACTGGGTCTCTGCCTGCCGTATGCCAACCTCGGTGACTGAGACCCATCTCTCCCGGGCCCCGAAGGGGTCCCTGGAGAGTTGTCACAGTGGGCAACACACACACACAGACGCACCCGCGGAAACCTTAGGGAAAAGGCACCCGCTTACCTTATACTTCATCTCGGCGGCGGGGAGAGTTGAGCCGTTTTCCTACACTAGTGAGACTGCATCAAGCACTGGCAAGTCCGCCCCTCCATGGAGTGCAGGGCTAAATGAAAGTGAGAACGGTCCGGGCCTGGGCGGGTTTGCCAGTCGCAGCGCGCAGAGCTCCCTAACGGCACAGCCTCTGAGCTCACTGTTTTGATTGAGGCTGGCCGAGCACCGACTATATTTGCATACCGCCCGCCATTGGCTGGCGGACCAAGGTAGCGCGGGGCCCCGCCCACCTCTTAACTTCGGAAACTGACAAAGAACTTGTAATGTGGTCCTTTCTTCTATTAGCAGAAAGGGTGGAAAATAAAACGATGTGGGGAACCCTCTCGAACTATACTCCCCATCTCCCAACCCCCCTAAAAAAAACCGGGAAAAGGAGATTCTTTTTCAGATTAACCTAAGTTTTAAAGAAATTGAATTCGCAGAGCAGTCTGACAGTCGTGCTTCCTGTGACCTAGCAACTCCTTCATAAACCCATTTCATTTCAAAGCCATTCACCTCCCAGTCTCTACATGAAACGAATTCGGGGAACAAAAGGTTTTCTGTCTCCGGGCCCCTTTTTACTAACTACCCCTGCTGATATCTCTCTCTCTCTTTCTCTCCTCCCCACCCCTCCCCTTTTTTGTGGCTGTTTGCTTTTTTTGTTCTTTTCAATGTTCAAAGTACTTGCAACGTCAGTCTGCAGAGGAGACAGAATACAATTCTCCCTCAGTGAAAAGGAACTCCTCTAGCACAGGCACCCGGGCTTTCCTGGCCAGCTTCTCACCAGGGCCTCAGAGAGCTGTCAGCCACATTCGGCGATCTTCTCTGGCTTTGCTGAGGATAAAGGTTAGATGTGACCTCTCCGAAGAGGCTGGCCAGTGTACGCCCTATACATCATCGCTGTCCACTGAGTACTGTGTCCTTTGATGGCTGGCATTTCTAGCTCCAGCTTTGAACACTGCAGTGTTTTCCTTCTGACCTCTCCTGAAGATGACCCATTAACCCACCAAAACTTATTATCAGGGGAACAAAAAATGCCCACTGTTTGATGAGCCTGGTTAAGAAAGACCAGTCTGTCCAGTGAAGCACAGAACATTTGGTTCAGCCTCCTGATTTCTATAGAGAAAGAGATCACCCAGGAGAAGACAGAAACAGTCACCTTTAGCGACTCTTCGGAAGGATAGAGCTGATAGAGGGGAAAATTCCTTTTCACTGGGTCTCAGGGTTGAGACTCCGTGATTGTAGACAATAGCTGTCCCTGAATGGGTTGGGCTGCAACCAGACTACACGACTTGGATGGAAAAAATCGGCTCTTATTTTTTCCTGACCTAGTTGGATCAGAATCAGTTTGATTCCCCTCCCCCACAAATTCCCAGTGGCTTAAAATTCTACTTTTATGATCCAAACAAAAAGAACAGGAGAGCAGCTGTCCTGCAAAAGTGGTTTCCAGATACAGGGCTCATAGTTTAGATCACAGTTTAATATGGCACCGATTCCCTGGACGTGACCAGCCCCCCACCCCCATCCCCCCCCCTTACTAGCGGTCATAATGAGGTTGACACACCCGTTCAGGCCTCAGCTTGGACTTTGCTATTCCTCATTTAGCCTTGGAGTGAAAATGAGCCTGAGTGATTTTGCAAGGTCTTTCTGAACATAGATTAAGCATGCAGCATATTGCATTGCAAAGGCTCTTCCTAACAGTCCCACAGTCTTCTGGGCGAGTCATTAGTTTGCAGGAAATTGTGTTTTTGGTGTCTGCCTGGATCAGTCAAAGGCCTTCTCATCTGTAAGATGAGTCTTGTGGCCTCCAGAAGATCTAGATAACATTCCTTTGGCTTCCTAAGCAGTGAAGCTGAATCCACCTTCTGTTTAGTTTGATGAGTACCATTGAGTAGGTGAACACTATCTCACTCCATTTCAATGCTTTCAAACGGTTTCCCAAAGCATTTGCTAGGGCTTTTTGTCATTTCGTTCTCTCGCTAGAAAGTTTAATTCATGCTAAGTGGCCCTCTTGCTTTCCTGTTTCTCTCCTGTTGGGTAAGACACCTCAAATCTACCTGCAGTTCATTTCAGGGCAGTTTGGGTCGGCGTTAGTTACCTTGGAGTCAGGTAAACTGTGTTAGAATCTCAACAAATTTTCTTAATTTCTTGATTTCGGTGCCCTGAAGTATAAATTAGGGAAAATAATTCTACCTACTTGCTGGAGTTATAATGAGTATTGAATGAGATAATATGCATAGGGGCACCTGGGCGGCTCAGTGGGTTAAACATCTGCCTTCGGCTCAGGTCATGATTGCAGGGTCCTGGGATCGAGTCCTGCATCGGGCTCCTTGCTCAGCGGGGAGCCTGCTTCTCCCTCTGCCCCTACTTGTGCTCTCTCTCTCTGTCTCTCTGACAAATAAATAAATAAAATCTTTGGAAAAAAATAGATCATGTGCATAGAAGGTAATAGTACCCAGTACTATCTTAATTAATGTCTGCTTATTAATATTTTGTTATTAATTATTTCATCTTCAATTCATCATATATCATTACTATATTATATAACATTATTATGATATATAAATATATAAATATTTATTTAATTGTATTAATTATGACAGTTATGACTGTTAGACCGCTGTCAATATTTTAAGTGTGAAGCACTTTTTTTTTTTTTAAGCATTCAGGAAAAGGTGGAAGACAGCTTTCTAATTTAACAGATCTCGATTGAGCACCTCCCAGGTACTGTTCCAGGTGGGGAAGGTACAGGAGCAGCCCAGACAGACAAAGTCCCCACCCTCTCGGTGCTTACAGTCTCCTGGGAGTGGGGGACAATAAGTCAATGAATATGTGTTTAATACAGTTTTGGAGTGATAAATGCCATGAAGAAAAATTAAGCAGGAAAAATTGCTAGAGGAAAACAGATGAGGGTGGGGGTGTCTTCTTTTAGAGAGTGGTCAGGTAAGCCCTTCTAGGGAGGTAATATCGAAGCAGAAATCTAAATGGCACGAGGGATCCACTCAAAGATCTGGGCAGAGGAAAGCACCTGAGCGTGGTGTGTTTAAGAACAGCATATAAGCCAGTGTACCTGGAGTCGGGCACCTGGGGTTTGGGTGGAGGAGACAGAGACAGGTGGGTGGTAGCAGTTGGATTTCCTCCTGAGCTCCAGAGAAAGTCACCGGAGTGATCTGAGCAGAGAATGATGTGATCTGTTTCTCTGTGTTTTTACCCTTTGTGTAAACGCTCAAGGGTAGCAGGCCCTTGGTTAAAAATTGAGTTCTGGTCTTAATGCAGTTTACATAATGCAGCTAGTTGTTACTGTATTCATATTTTGTATTAATTATATCAGTATTTAGGCACGTAGTATGTTTTTTCCTTCCCCCTTTGGGGAAACACAAATTCTCTCACTGAACAGAAAAACAGCCCCAATCCCTTCTGTTACCTGGGATTTTTGGATGCAGAAATACTGTTTAAACTATGCTATATAAACACTGTCGACCAATCTACGGGGCCACCCTCCTACTCCCGTGGGTAGCCTCCTAAAATGGGCCAGGACGCTGGGGTTCGGGCCCTACGCTATGCTCACCAACACCCTGGCGGGAGCACCCCTCAGCCATGCTACCTGCCTGCTGGTGGCCAAGGGCCCTATCTCCCCTGATGCTGATACAGGCAGGAGCAAGGGATATGGCACCAGACAACATCCAAATGATTTTCCAGCTGCCGCTGGACACGGGCGTGGATACGGCAAGAAATCAAGAGGATGCCAGAGGGAAGAGATTCTCCTACACACAACTTGGGAGGAACCCATGTGGCTGCTAAGAGCGAAGGGCCAGGTCAGAACATGCAAGGGCAGGAAGTGAGCTCAGGAATCTAGAGCAGACCCTCTGAAGAGGATGAAGCTGCTCCAAGGGCCGGGTGCCTTGCACGGGTGCCGCCCGGTTGGCTCATAACAGCAATCGCTGCTTCAGGTCCATTCTGTCTCTCTTGTCTGATCTATTCCAGTCCTTTCTTTGTCATTTCCCCGCCTGCAGTCTCTCCCCTGCTGGAAGCTATCTTCCACATCACTACCTGTTTAATTTCTAGAGTTCAGAGCACATCACGCTGCTACTGGGATTAAAAACCTCTGGGGACACTTCAGTGCCTTTAAAAACAAAATCTGCAGACTTTGGCATGGACTATAATTTGAGCCCCCCCTTCCTTTCTGGCCTCATCCCCTCCCATCTCCCCACCCCACATCCCACCCTCCAGCCAAACTGGCGGGACTCACCAATTCTAAGACACACTTGTACTGTCCTGACTCCGCGCAGATGGGTCCCTCTGCCTAGCGCGTCCTCCCTTCACACGTCTGCTATCAAGCCGAGCCCCAACACTAACCCTTTTGTACTTCCTCGTCAACAACCCCCACTCTGCCCACCTCCTCCTTTCAGAACTAATTCATCCCTCCCTTCACTATGCCCCCATTGTATTTGGAACACGGCCCTATTATAAGGCTTTTCCACATTGTACCATAATATTGGTTGATCTCTGTGGCCCTAGCTTCAAGGTGAGCTCCAGAGGGACAGGGTGGTATCCTGTTCATCTGTGTCCCCCGCAGGCTTATGCCTCATAGGGGCTTAAATACTTGCTGAATGAATGGATGAATAAGAGGACAGCAGTAACTTCAAAGAATGTCTATTTTCTGAGAGTTCTCTGTGATGCTCGGGAAAGGAATGGAGAAAACTTGAGTTTGAAGGCAGTAGCGTGGTTTACATTGATAAGAAGTGAAGCTAAGATGCAAAGTTGCAGAACCTACTCAAGGCCTGTTGCCAGTTCTGGCTCTTGGACATGGTTTGGTCTGAAAACTCCAGCTTGTAGGCTTCCTGTTTTTGTGTGATTGATGAGCTAAGAATAGCTTTTACATTTTTTTATATGATTGGAAAAAAAGGAAAAGAAGAATATTCCGTGAGTTGTGAAAATTATGTGAAATTCACATTTCAGTGTCTATAAATACAGTTTTATTAGAACACAGGCACCCCTTCCTTTACAGGGTGTCTTTTGAGCTATAATGGCAGGCTTGGGTGGTTGTAACTTGAAGAGGTAATGGCTGCAACCCCCCTCCCCCCAAAATGTATTATTTGGCCCTCCACAGGAAACATTTGCTGACCCATGCTCTAGAA